ATAGAAGTACTCAATACTATGATTTCATTTTTCACAACTAGATTTATAGTTTTAATGTAATCCCTTACAAAAATCTTACCAGATTCTTTTGTAGACCCTTAAGATTTATTTGGAAACAAAATATCTAGAGCAGTCAATAAAATAGTAAAGAACAACAAAATTGGAATACTGTTGCTACCTGAGTTCAAGATTTACTACAGTAGAATAAAAATGAAACTATGCTATTGTTAGAAAAAATAAGCAAGAAACAATTTCAAGCCCCAAACTAAACCTATACAAATGTAGTTTTAACAAGAGGAAGAGGCATTTTAGAAATAGAAAGGGACAGAGGGATGGCAGAGGGAATAGAAAGGAAGAGATGTAAGAGCTCAAATGTGTTATATTATCATTTTGTAGTTTAATCATGTACTAATAAAAATAAGACTTAAGAATAACAAATGTAGCAAATGTAGAGGCTGGTGAGATGGCTCAGTGGTCTAAAGCACCTACTTAGAACAAGCTTAGCAAAGCACAGGGACCGCGGTTCAATCCCCCAGCACCACATGCCAGCCAGCCCTGCCCCCTGGTGGGCTGAGCTGGCCACACACACACACACACACACACACACACACACAAATAAAATATTAAAAAAAAAATAACAAATGTAACTTAATGGAGACTAGAGTTGAATTTTTTTAACAAATACTACATAAACAGGTAGGTACCTACATGCCATACTAAACAAAACAAAGCAGTAACACTTGGCTCTTCTTACACCTTTCATAAAAAATTAGCTGATAATGAAAACTGTGAATGCACAATGCAAAATTATAGTCCTAGAAAAAGGAAAAGAGAAATATAGATGATTTTATGTTCATCAGTGGTATTTTAGATACAATGCTGAAAGCATGATTCATAAACTAAAGTTGATAAACTGTACGTCATTAAATTTAGAAACTTTTAGGGGATGGGGAGATGGCTCAGTAGCAAGCACAAGGGCCTGAGTTCAATCCCCGGTTCTGCAAAAACAAACAAACAAAAAATTAGAAACTTTTGCCTTGAGAATATCACCGTGAAGAGAAAGAAAGAAAGAACAAGTCATAACTTGGGAGAAGATATTTGTCAAACACATGTAATAAAGGACTTATATCCAGAGTTTACAAAGGACTTGTAAAATTCAAGAATAATAAAAGAAACAAACCAATGAAAATGAGTAAAAATTTTGAACACATTCTTCGAAGAAGACATAAGAAATGGCAGATAAGTATACAAAAATGTGCTATACTGTATACACTGAATTTTATGTGTAGCCCTTTTCTATTTGAGGTAGGATCTGGCTAAATTGCCTAGGCTAGGCTCAAACTTTGATCTTTGTTCCTCAGCCTCCCAGAATGCCCAAATATAGGTATGGGCCACTATGACTAGATTGATCAACTGATTTTTTTTTTCAGAACACACACAGGAAAGACAGTCTCTTTAATTATTGGAGTTGGGAAGACAAATTATCGTATGTGTATGAGAATTAAAATGATCTGCATGTCATACCATATTAAAAGTCAACTCAAAATGTATTATAGTTAAAATATCAGAACTTGAAAGAAAGCATAGGGGCCGGGGAGATGGCTCAGTAGGATAAGCGCTTGACCAGCAAATGCAAGGATCTGAGTTCAATCCCTAGTTCTGCCAACAAAAAAAGAAAGAAAGAAAGAAAGAAAGAAAGAAAGAAAGAAAGAAAGAAAGAAAGAAAGAAAGAATAGAAGAAAAGCTCCATGACATTGCCCCCAGTGATGTTTGTATATATGACTATAAAGGAATGGACAACAAACGTAAAAATTATGTCAAACTAAAAAGGTGCTGCCCAGCAAAGAAAACAAAGAGAAAGTCTATGGAAAGAAAAATATATATTTTCATGTCTTTTATCTGATAAAGGATCAATCCTAAGTTTAGGCTGTTGCAGGGGTGTACAGCTATAGCAACAGCTACTTAGGAGACTGAAGCAGGAAGTATTACTTGAGTCCAGAAGTTCAAGGTCAGTATGGGCAGTGTAATGAGGTACCGTCTCAGAACCAGTGTCAGCCACCCTATCAAAAAAACTCAAAAATAAAACAAGAAAAAAAAATAAAACAAGACCCCCCAAAAAAGGTGACCCCCGCCCCAAATCCTAAATTTGTAAGAAACTTAGACAAGTCTACAGCCAGATACCATATAGACCAATTTAAAAAAAAAAAAAACAACATAGGCAAAGGGCCTCAAGAGATATTTCTTAAAATAATACATACAAATAAAACATAAAACAGATATATGAAGAAAATACTTAATATCTCTAGTCATTAGAGAAATGCAAAAGAAAATTATAATGAAATATCACTTTGTAATTGGTAAAAAACAGTTCCCTAGGAAATTAAAGTAGATTCACCAATCTCACTACTAGATACATATCTAGAGAAAATGAAATCAGTATGTTGAAAAGAGACCTAAACTCTCATGTTTATTAAAGTACTAGTCCCTGTATGTTGATTCCATACCTAGGAATCAACCTTTGTGTCCATCAGTGGTTGAATAAATGAACAAAATATGGTATGTGTGCACAGTGGAATACTGTTCAGGATTAAGAAAATCAAAATCTTATCACTTATGGCAACTTGGACAAACCTTGCAAACATTATGTTAAGTGAAATGTGGCAGGCATAGAAAGACAAATACCTCATTTTCTCATTTATACTGTATGTGGAATCTGAAAACATTTATCACATGGAAGAAGAGAGTTAAAGGCTTGTTTTCAAGAAGTTTGGGAGGGGTTGGGGAGGAGTCTAGGAGTTTTAATCAAAGGACACAAAACTTTAGATAGGAGGAATTTGTTCAATCAATTTATGGAACAATGTGTTGACCATAGCTGTTAACGATGTTTTATATTCTTAAAAATCTCTGAGGGTTGGCCAGATAGCTCAGCATACTAAGGCACCGGCTTAGGCAGATACAGGGACTGGGACTCAATCCCAGGTGTGCAGTGCCATCCTGGCCTCTCCCCCGGGGTGCACAGAGAGGGCAGTTGAGACCGGGCATGGTTGCATGTGCCTGTAATCACAGTGCTTGCGAGGCTGAAAACAGGAGAATCTCTACAATTCCAATCTGTGTAGTGAGACCCCGTAGTTCCTTTACTAAATTCATTTTTTTAAAAAATCGCTTGAAAGGGTAAATTTTTATAGTTTCTTACTACAAAAATGACAAATTGTGAGGGATTGCATGTTTTCAATAGCTTGATTAATGTATGTTAATTACCTCAACATATTACTAGCTCCATTAAGGCTTCGCACATTGTATACGTATTTCAGAATGTCATCTTATACATAATAAATATATAATTTGTCAACATATTTTAAAACATATAGTAAGTAAATATGCTCATTTCTTTTATTATATAAATACATTGGAAAATTATGTAGATATCAAATAAGTGAAAATGTACAGGAGAGTAAAAGTTGAGAAATTTAGGGGGTTGAATTTGTAAGCCTCCTTTTTCTGTCTGCAGGACAGAATGGAATCCAGTGTATTGGTTAGATACCTGTATACCTGGTCTTAACCCAAACAGTGAATAGTAAGATGACTCTAGACCCACCCTTCCGATTTCAAAGTTTCTTAGTGTCAGTGATGTTCATGTAGAATCATACAGGGTTCTCAAATAGGATGTATTTGGAGTTCTGTCTTGAAGACAACATCCTGGAGACCATAGGAATTAATTAGGGCACCCAGAAAAAATGAGAAGGTTTGAGATCAGAGGAATACAAACGCAGCCATGAGTAAATTTCCCATGAAAAGTCATAGGAAGACAAAAGTTTTTTTCTCTTTTCTTTTTTCCCCCTCCCTCCTTCCTTTCCTGCCTCCCTTTCTCCCTTCCGTTCTGCCTTCATTTCTTCCTTGGTGTTATAAATCAAATGCTGAGCCATATGCTTTCCACATAAGCATTCTAGCACTGAGCTATACTTCTAGTTTAGGATGACAAAATTTTAAGTAAAGAGTATTTAATACAGATCACGTTAAAATCAGTATGAAAAATAAATATTGATGTAATAGCAAGTGGTTCACGTCTTCTGAAGCTGTCCCTGTTATCACATTTTTGTTATTAGCATTTTGAATGTCCACAGGACACATCTGCTGTTCAAAATAAAACACACACACACACACCCCTCTCATACTTCTTAGAACTAGAGCTAGTGTTCATCATGAATCTCTTATACAGGGTATCTGACACTAAAGTGATCTGGGAACTCTTTGGTATATTTTAACATGTCTCAGAGTTAGTTTTACATGCAGAGTATTTTAGGAAACATCATCACAATGTATCAGTGTTTGAAAAGGTTTGATTATAAAGAATGAAAGCTCTGACAGTTACCAGTGAGAATATGTAACATTAAATTGAAACTGAGGATATTTACAAGTAAAATGAAGCAACTAGTAGATATAGCGAGATTAGTATTGCAGGAAGGAGATCTCATAGAGTGACAGAACAGTTGAAATGATGCAGGGTCCTGCAGTGAGTTTAGTTTTGAACACAGGTAATAGGATATAGATTGCTGAGAGCACTAAAGATAGTTTTCCCTTTTATGAAGCAGAAGAATAGCTTGAAAAGGGGAGGGGAGGGGAGAAGTAGGGAAGGGAGAAGAGAGGAGAGGAGAAGAGGGGAATGGACGGGAGATGAGAGGGGAGGAGAGGAAAGAAGAGAGAAATGAGAGAGAGGCCTCACACTGTTGCTCTGTTTTTGGAAAATAAATATTAGTGGAATCTGTTAGATAGCTCAGTGGCGTAAGTGCCTGCCTTGCAAGTGCAAGGTCCCAAGTTCGATTCCTGGTTTAAAAAAAAAAAAAAAAAAAATTAGTGGAGATGGTGACATTCCTTAGTGTTCCCATTTGTGTCACTTGATGGTTCTGAATGTGAATTTAGTCCAAGTCACATAAATTTCTGCCTTTTATTCACACTGGAAATCTGAAAATCTGAATTTTTTTATACATCGTATTATTTTACAGGATGCTAGACATGCAGCTGAAGAAGAAATTTATACAAATTTAAACCAGAAGATTGACCAGTTTCTACAGCTGGCAGACTATGACTGGATGACAGGAGATTTAGACAACAAAGCTAGTGACTACCTGATAGACCTCATTGCCTTTCTGAGAAGCACCTTTGCTGTATTCACACACCTTCCCGTAAGTGACAGTTGCTCTTACTTTGCCTTTGAATATAGGAAAAAAGTATTTTCTTAAATTGTATGTTGGTTTAAGATTCTAGTTTCTGATTTAACTAGCCATGAAGGTTTTGGTATATATAAGCTCACATTAGATTTATTACATTATTGCCATTTAGAGTGAACTCTGCTATTACTTTTTCATTGACTGTTTCAGTTTGTTTATTCTGAAAGTACTTTTTCTATTATCATGTCTTCCTGCTAACTTGAAGAAAATTTCACAAGCATAATGAAAACCTTGGTAATAATAAAAAAGAAACACGAGTTAGAATTTCAGATATCTTTTACATTGAAAACATCCTTTTTCTTATAAACCATAATTCCTGATAAAAAGTCTTCTAATATAATTTGCCTTTGTTTTCTTGAGTGTGTTAGTCATATTCATTAGATGTCATTGTTTCTTGATTCTTACGGCTTACTTACACATGCTGGGTGAGTTGTTTCTGGTTTTCTCTTGGCTTTCCATGTGACCCTGTGTTTTTCTACTACTTTTGTGATTAATGTTAGACATTGTATTTAAAGTATGATCCTGGATGATACTATCTTCCACTAGAAAAGGTTCATTCTTTCTTTTCCTGAGTAAGTCTAATAATGGGCAGATGCGTTGTCATTTAAGAGTGATCACCTTAGTGCAATCAGTCATCTAGGTGACCCCCGGGTTGTCCTTGTAATGTACCTCTGGTTGTCCCTGTTGCTATATGTGCACTTCAAGGCTTTCAGTGAGAGCCTGGCACATTATCTTTTCCTCAACACCAAAGACTAGAGGTTTGTATTTCAGAGCACTGTATCTATTCAGCCTTCTGCATTCTTTAGTTTTAAAATTTGGCCGGGCATGATGGCACATGAGAATGAGCCTTAGCAGTATTCTGATTAGCAATTAACAATAGAATAAAAATGTCAATATCAATTTACTTCTTTGAGAATGTTGAGGGCTTCCTGTAGTCTCAGTGTTTATATACCATAAATTCATGTTAAGTGCAAGTACAAATATGCTGATAATATGAAGTGAGTCCTTGGGTGTGACAGATCACCAGGGCAGCACCCTCATGAATAAATTAACGTTCTTATAAAAGAAGCTCCTGAGAACAGATTTTTGCTTCCATCAGCTGAGGATATAGCAAGAAGATGACTTCTATGAACTAGGAAGTAGCCCCTCACCAGATACTGAGTCTTCCGGCATCATGATCTTGGACTCAGCTACTACTGTGAGAAATAATTTTTTTATTAGCTACTGAGTACACAGTATTTTTTATTCTTGTTGTTGCACCCTTCATGATTTATACTTTGCTTGAGATTCTTATGCAGCAGGCTGGGGTGATAGCTCAGCAGTGTAAGTGCCTGCCTGGCAAGTGCAAGTTCCCCAGTTCAGTCCTCATGCCATGCTGCCCTGGAACCGCGCATGGTGGCACATGTCTGTAATTCCAACTGAGACAGGAGGATCACTATGAATCTGAACTGTGTAGTGAGACCTTGTATCAACAAAAGAAAGAAAAGAAGGAGATTCTTTCGCATTCTTCAAGTAGTGGGTCATTTTCTCTGGAGCACTGTGTGATTGTGGCAGATTCACTTTGATTTTCAGAGGGCTTAACTCTTCAATCTTCATTTTTTTCTCAGCTGTGTAGCTTTTGAATTCAGATGTATTGAGGGAAAAACTGGTCTTCAAGGTCTCTACTTTGGGTACTTTAATTTCTTGAGAGAGAAAAAAATCAGTTTCTTTCTTTTATTTCTAAATTAATTAATTAATTTATTTTTTACTACTAGTAGAAACTCTTTTTCTAGATTTAACTTATTCTGTTTTCATCCCTTGTGGAGCTTTCGCTCCCAGGGACAGCTACAGACGCTATGTTTACATTTGAAGATTCTTCCTGATAGATTTTAATTCCCTTTATTCTTTTTGCTTCTTA